ATGACAGCGAGGCGAAGAGTTTCCCCTAATTTCATCGAAAGCATCGGTGCTTGGAGAGTCGAGATATGTGTAAGGGTCTGTATTCCAGGGCTCTTTGGCTCTCAAGATCCTGCACGGTTAGTGTAATGTGAGATTGTTGATGACTTCTGGTGATAATAAAAAGCATTGCATGAAATCTTGAACTGTAAGTAGTATCAAAAAGGATACTAGAGTATCATTTTCGACCCATTCTTCTCTGCACGTAAGATTTTGTAGGACAAGGAGATGATTAGAGGAAGAACGCTACGTACCGGCACCTCACCCCTCCGCGTAATTGTGCTTGGCTGTAGCGGAGGATTAGATAAGACACCCGGAGCGGAACTCGATCACGGGCAGCTAAACCGCAACAGGCCAAGCGCATCTTTACAGAACTTTTTTTTCCTCTTCAGCAACCTCAACTCGGGTCCAGAAAGTCGGCGACGGTCGACCAGCACAACAGTCTTTCAGAGTCAAGAGGTTGTCGCTCGAATTTGCTGTGGGATCAGGCTTCTTATCGCCCTCTGCTACCTCCTTTGCGACACGGACACATTTGCATTTATCGCCTTGATTCCACCCGCAGAGTCCATCCAAAATGGCCAAGAAAGCGTCTCGCCCGGCCGCTTCGAAAACTTCCTCCGCTGCGTCGCCCGCGGTAATAGGATCGACACAGATCGGAAATCAGTCTTCAATCTTAAAGGCGTCTTTCGCTCCATCAGAGTACCAACTGACACTCTTCGCGTCGGTCATCCAAGGCCTTGGTGCTCAGCATCTCCGCATTCACGATACGAACACAGGACGGTTACAGTGCGAGCATGTTTTGGGTCCCAAGGAGATCGTTACCTCACTAGACTGGGGTTATTTCGCCGGTCGCCAGAAGGACAAGGATCAATCGAAGAAGAAGAGAAAGAGGAATTCTGATATCAATGGGGACGCTTTCGATCAGGGCGATGTCGTCGTTGCCTTTGGAACCAACACTTCTGAGATTCGAATGTATTCGCCTGCGGATGATAAGATTGTCGGCACGCTTGCAGGTGGACACGAGAGGGGCATCAAAGATTTCAAGTTCACCCCCAGTCGGCCCGGCCAGGAGGGTTGGAGTATTGGCGGAGATAACAAGCTAGTGCAGTGGGACCTCCGCACCGGACAGAAGACAAGGTAAATTCAGCTCAAGTCACCTCCTACTATAGTCATCCTTTCGGCTGATCATATTTTCAGAACCATCCATCTACCTTCCACGTCGACATATAATACACTCTCGCGTCCTCTTCCTTCTAACCCCCATGTCATTTGCGCCTCGCAAACGCCGTATATTGTTAGCGTTGAGAAGGACGAACCTCCTGTGTCGTTTGATGCTATGCGCAACCCTATCAGACAAATCTTCACATCTTCAGCAGAGTCTGCGGGGACGGGATTGTTCCTTGTATCCGATAGTGACCGCTACATTAATGTCTTCGATGCCGAGAAACAGAAACTTGTCATGAACCTCGTGGCTGAGCAGGGTGTGAGCTCCCTAGCTTTGTATACCGGCGCCGAAAAGAACGGCGATGCTCTCCCGGTAGAGAAGCAAGTTCTCGCCGCTGTGACTGAGGATGGCACGATTGAACTCTTCACGCGGCCTTTCGTAACGCCCGCTGAGCAGACTTCTGCCAAGGGTGCTGCTCAACAGAGGGCCAGATCTAAGCAGGCCATCAGAAGAGCAGAGGCATCGATTAAGGTCACCATGTCTGCTACCTCCGAGGCGCTTGTGTCAGTTGTGGCAGCGACGTTCCAAGGCCCCGACCTGGTTATTGTCTGGGCTGATGGTGGTGTCGTTCCTGTCTTCGAGCGGGTCCAATGGCTCGATGAGGAAACCGACGAGGTGTTGTTCACTGGCACTAGGACCTTTCCTAGAACCAAGACTGGCGGAGTCTTGGGTTCCGTCACCACGAACGGAACCAGAAGCGCTAGAGAAAACGATGTCGACCAGTCCCGGGCCACGGTAGAGCAGGGAAACATCATTGAAGATGACATCGAAATGGAAGATACCAAGGAAGATGCTGTTTCCCAGGCCGACAATGAAGAAGAGTCCGACTCCGACGCCGACAACGAGAAGCCCTCGAAGCAGTTGCAAAAGAAGGAGGAGGACAGCGATGTCGAAATGGGTAATGAGCAAGAGTCAGGCTCCGAGGACGAAGAGGAGGAGACTGGCGAGCCGTCTTTCGGTGAGCTTGTGCGCGCTAACCAGGAAATTGTTGACGTCGAAGCCGAGCTTGAGGACGACGTGCATATGGGATCCCTGATCCCCGGAAAGCCAAACGCCGCGATCCAGCAAATCCCTTCGGGCGTGTCACTGTCCACCGTCCTCACCCAGTCTCTCAAGACCAACGACACCGCTATGCTCGAGTCATGCTTCCACACCGGCGACCTCTCTATCATCCGCACTACCATCCAACGCCTCGACTCGTCCCTGGCAGCCACTCTCCTCCAGAAACTCGCAGAGCGCCTTTCCGGTCGCCCCGGTCGTTACGGGCACCTGCTAGTCTGGGTCCAGTGGACCTGCGTCGCGCACGGTGGAGCTCTTGCTGGTAAGCCCGAGCTTCTCAGGCGGATGTCGACCCTCTTCAAGGTCATGGAGCAGCGCTCTTCAAGCCTTCCTTCGCTGCTCCTGCTCAAGGGCAAGCTCGATATGTTGGACGCCCAGCTCGGATTGCGACGGTCGATCCACAACGGCGAAGAGGCCATGGACAGCGAGGATGAGGAGAACATCATTTACGTGGAGGGACAGGAGGATGAATACGAGGACAGCGACGCCGAGGCGAACAAGGACACCGTCACACCCCGCACCAAGTCGATACGTGACCAGACCTACGATGAGGAGGAGTCGATGATGAATGGCGTGCACTACGGTGGAGACTCTTCCGAGGATGAAGAAGGCAGCGAAGAAGAGGAGGACGAGGATGAGAACATCCTCGATGTCGAGGCAGAAGAGTCCGCTGGCTCCTCCGATGCGGAAGAGTCCCTCGAGGAAGATGAAGACGAGGATGACGAGGATGCCGAGAGCGTCGGCTCTATGGTGGACTTCATCGCCGATACGGAGGACGAGGAGGAGTCTGATGACGAGGCCACTGCCGTTCCTCAGCCTCCGCCTTCCAAGAAGGCCCGGCTGAACAGCGGTGGCGGTGGTGGACGAGGCAAGGGCAAGAAGGCAGGAAGAAAATAGGCGATAGATCAAAACTCTCTTTTTTTTTGTTCACCTTGTCATCCCATCTTCTACCACCTCACCCTCTCCTACCATTAGATTTTATACCCCCGTTCTTCAGCAGCAGCAGCGGCAACAGTAATGTTGGTGTCATTCTCCCCGGATGTTTTATTATTGCCTCCAACCTAAAAAAGTACAGAGAGAGAGGGGGTGGATGTGTGGAGTTATGAGTAAAGGATCATGTTTTGATTGGTTCCATTTGGGATTTCTTTCTTTTTTTTTTCTTCGTCGTTTTCACCTCGGTTTTCCCGCCACTTATCGCATGCTAGAACTAGGGCGTGAGCAGTCCAAACAAAAAAGGGAGAGAGGGAAGGAGTAGTGTGAATATATCAATCATCTTTTCTTCACCCGGCGAGAACATAAATATATCTTCCCTTAGCCACGTGACATACCATACCACACCAAGAGCCAGCAGGTAACTCAACTGCACCTACCAAGTCATATCCCCATCGAATACACTCAATCACGCCAACACCTCCCCCGCCCCACAAGCCCCCGAATGCAACACCCGATGCGCCGGCACCTCCGCCAAGGGCACCTCCACCGCCACCGTCATCTGACCGGACGGATACGTCGTCGCGTGGCCCTCCGCGCTCACCTCCTGGGTGTCCAGCGCCAGGATCGCCCCGTTCTTGCCCCCGGTCACCCACGCCTCGTCCGCGGAGGTCGGGAGCGTGATGTGCGCCACCCCGGAGAGGAAAATCACCCATCTGTTTTTTTTGGTGATGTCACTTTAGGTACTGTACACGCGACTCATGACCCGAGCTGAACCATAGGACGAGGGGGTTCGGGGATAAGAAGTAGTGAGGGAGAAGGAGATTGGATTGATGGTCATGGTTTATGGTCTATTGGGGCTCTGGGGCTGGGGACTGGGAGATTGCGGGTGAAAGGGATGGGGAGCAAGGAAAGGGAGGGGGAAACATACTGCAGCGCGGGAGCATTATGTTGGCCGCCGTCATAGTTGGCGGGGATGAGGATGTTGGTTGCGTTGCCGGTGATGGGGCCCAGATTGAGGACGGCGTTGCCGGAGACCCCGGCCTCGGAGGTGAGGGAGTAGCCCGGTTGGAGGGCCCAGCATTCGAGCACGGAGTGGTTGTTGTGGGCTGTCAGGGTGGTGATGTTGAGGGTGCTGGGGAATGGACTGGTTGTCGCTGTGGTGTTCGTGGTGGTGGCTGCTGCTACTGCTGTTCGAGCAGTGGTGCCGAGGGCTAGGATGGTCGAGATGAGGATGGTGAATGCGCCCATTGTGGATGGTTGTAGCTCAGAAGCAAGGCTTGAGATTGATGGTTTTGGAGGGAAATAGAGCGGTTGATGCTGTAGTACTGAGTACTGTACTGTTCAAGAGGCAGGCTGCTGTAGGCGATGGGCTACAAATATGATAAAATATTGCTTCGGATTATGTGCCACCTGAGGGCTAAAAAGATCCGAGTGATTGAATTTACAGCACAGTGGGCTCTTTATTTCAAGTAAGTCTATTGATGATCATTTGTTTCCGTAATGCAAGATCGCGATGGAAAAGGCTTGAGTCAGTTTAGACGCGCTATTGATATATGAACAAAACCCATGCAGCAAGGATCTTCGGCCCGGTCCGATTCCAAAGGCAGGAGGATTCCTTTCGTTCGGCACACAAGGTTCCGTGAGGTATACATGACAGAGAGGGCTCATTAAAAAAATAATGGGTTACTACGATCTAGTAGTCAGCGGGTTGTGATAATAATACACACCTACGGCAAGCTTCACGACCCTCGTCGCACTGGTATCAGGATCGCTGATATCAACGAATGATTTCATCCCCCGCTTTCTCGAGACCTTCTAAGCCCTCGAGAATGCCGCTGCCCCCAAAAGAGCCCGCTACTGCAGCTGTGCTTCGCTTAGATCCGCTCCACACCTCATGAAACTTGACGCTTTGATCGCTCGAAGCTACGATGATGCAGCCTTCGTGCATCGTGCGCGAACACCATAGGCCTCCCTCCTTAGCGCGTGGCCGTACAAAGGCGCGACTCATACGGCGTCGACTCGGCTGATATCGGCTTTGCCCGGCTAACCGGTCTTGGTTTGCTGCGCTCGACACGCACTCGTCTTCGACCTCGTCCGAAGCTTCAGGCTCGAAAATATGGGGTCTTCCAGGATAACTGACAGCGCAGAGTGCCCGCCCGCAATCGACCACGAGGTCATTATCTGCGCTTTCCCAGCTACTACCGTGCGGCCCCCAAGGGATGGCAGCAATTTGCTCACAAGTCGGCCAAGCGAACACCGCGATTCGGTAGGGGTGCTCTGACTGGGCGAACCCGAATGTAGCCACAATCTCCCGCCTGGTTTTGCTCCAAATCAAGCCCGTCACTTGTGCATATACATGAATTGTGGCCAGACATGCACCTGTCGGCGCGTGGTAGAAGTGGATAGTTCGGTCGTTGGATCCTCCACCGGTGGCCAGGAGGGATGGTTGCCAAGGAGCAAATGCAATCGCTTTCACCGCCGCCCCATGGATTAGTCGATGTTTTTGACGGTTGGCTGGAACCATGATTGTCTTTTCACCACCGGAGATCAATGACCCCGTATGGTTCAGCAGCGAGGTGGTAAAAGGCCTAACATATGACAAGGCCCAGGGCGGAAGCAGATTGCCGATGAGACTGCGTCTTCGATGATGGAGCCTACCAGCCTCTGTTGTAAGATAAGAGGCCAAATTTGTGCCTTCTGTGCCTCCTGACTGGCCTGACTGGCGCGTGGATTGGTGTGAAGAACGATATGACGAATCAGTTTGAACTGAAAGATTGAGTTCACGCGGAGGAAGAATAGTCTGGAGCTCAAATAGCAGACAAAAGTTGTCATTGCCCCCCGTTGCAAGGAAAGAGCCATCTGGTGACCAACTGATTCCACAAATTTGCTGTGTGTGAGCAGCGATTTTGGCGAGCAAGGTCATGGCTCCGTTCCAGTCATATCGATCCCATATCTCATCATCAGGCCACTCCACTGAGTAATACCATATGTTCCCCAGATCATCTCCTACAGCCAGATCCTCGACATCAACTTCCATGTTGCGGAAGCGTTCTGATGTTCTGCGGGACTTGGTTTGCTTGAATGCCACACATGTGATGCTCTCAGGATGGCTAATCTCAAATCGGACCTTAGCGTCGAAGACACTCCACAAACATAACATCCCCGGCTGTCTTGCAACAGCCAGTATACTTTTTCCGCCATTATCAGAGGAGAATGCTAAAGATGTCACGTAGTTGGAGGGATGCTGATCGCTAAGGGGAGGATGCTGTACTCCAAGATCTTCGGACCACAAATACACACGATGACCCAAACCAACAGCAAGAATGCCGGATGTGGGTGAATACGCCAATGTTGAGCAATAAAAGTCATCGCGGAGGAGGGGCGCATCGAGAATGCGAAACGGACGATTGGGGACGACTCGCTTACTCGGCTTGGATACAGGCATCCCTGACAGTGGGCTTGATGGTCAGTCATAGGTCTTGGGACCCTGAGAGGCCCAAGGTAGCTCAAAGGACGACAAAAGATAATCAACAGTCTACCAGGGGCCTCGTTACTAGAACAACACGAAACAATACAAGCACTCGATTGACCTTGTGAGCAGAACTGGGACTTACACAGATCTCTCCCATTTCGTTTCCAGGCGTTATCCTTCCACACAAATGGAGAGAATCTCTCGTAGTCCGATGAAGCTGGATTCGGCAACCCGCGGAGCAGTGACCAGGGCTTACTGCTTTGTATAAGTCTTGTTGCCGGATCAAAGTCCAAAGCAAGTGCCACCCTGGATTTGTGTTTTTCGCGTTCCTCGTTCGCCGCAGTCTGGGGTAAGAATCTAGCAGTAAACATGGGAGCAGTAGTGCCACTGGCGAAATGAGAGCCCGAGCCACGAGCAACTGTCGTAGATGCTCGACCCAAGGAGGCGGAGTTTCCTCCAACATTCCAGACAGCTCCATAGCTTATTTGTCTCGAAATGTCTCTGGTGTCGCGGAACGGCGAATCGCTTCCAGTATGGGTAGGCTCGGTGACAAGATGAGGACGATAGTGAGGGCTGCAAACGCGATTTGACGCTACTTTGGAACCGCTGAAATATCTTGGAAGGTGTGATGGCATGAACGGGTCATCTCTAGGCGGTCGTCGTCGCAGTAGCTTCTCCTCTGGCGATAACTCTCGCGGTTTCTTAAGTACATGGAATGGTGTTGTGGGCGCGCAGTTGGACTCTCGCAAGGGAATATATCGATCAGGCAGCTCACATCTCGTACCGCAGTCAGATGACTTGTAGTGCACGGGGAGTCTGATCGTCGACCGAGGTTTCCTAGTTGGCCCTGTTGTTAAGGTAGACAACGCGTGGTCTGAAGCCCTCAGAGCATTCGCATGAGGGGCGGATGGACGCCTGCTTCCCGGTTTGAGAGAAGAAGACTCGAAGCTCTTGGCATCTTGCAGTTTCTTTGACCCAGGTCGAGGAGTATGTATATTGAGTTTGGAATGAGTGACGGGCTCCAAGAGTGATGGGGCACTCGCACACAGGTGAAATGATGGTACTCGCCCTCCTCCATTAGCCGATGGATTGGGTGCAGAAGGATCCGAATGGGAATGAGAGGTTGTCAGCATTGAGCTTCGCGATGAGCGAGTGCTTGAGGTCATTGCTCTCCCCGCCTCAGTCTGAGACTGAACAAGTAGTTGACGGTGCGCGGATAATAATCCCCAGATGTATAAAGAACGCTGTTAGTAACTGTGTCTTTGGTAAAGTTCGTGGAGCCAAGAAATGAGCCGGAGCTCTTATTGATATACTGCCATGCTACCAAAGAACAGCATGGCGGAGTGATAGCTGGCAAGAGTCAGAAAGAAGAGACTGACCATGATACCTCCGATGATTGCAAAGTAGAATGGTTGTATAGAGCAGGACACGTGACTCGTCTAGATAAGGAAAGTGGCTGCGGCTCCCGCCCTGGAAAGGCAACCAGGGACTCGGTAAGTGGACTGGGAATAGTCGCCGCTTCACATACTCACTCTTATCGATAACCTTAGTGACCGCCAACCTATTTGCAATCCATCCGCCCAAGGAAGCCCTGTTGCAACATCCCAAAAAAGTCTTTCTTAATCTACAATGGCTGAAGTGACGTACCTATTCTTGCTGGCTCATTCGCGCACTTCAAACTGACCTTGTGTGCAACTACAGCATGGGATTCCTCGATACGCCCGTAGAGGGGAGCGGACTGAAGAAGCTCGCCAACAAGAGCTCCGCAAGATCGAGAAGTATCGTGAACTCGAACAGTCGGTTCGAGAAAAGGTGCATTTATGCAATCGTACATCTCTACATGGCAAGCGTGACCTAACGGTGGTGACCAGATTGCGGCACAGCAGTACACACCAGAAACTTTACAGAAGATATCCGAACTGCTAAGCAGCAACCCAGAGTACTACACGATATGGAATTATCGTCGTCAAGTCTTGCGAAGCGAATTTTCGCGCGCAGAATCTAGCGGCTCCAACGAAACAGCAGCAGAACATGTTGCTTCCTTGATCAAGAACGACTTGCTATTTCTTATTCCCTTGCTCAAGAGTTTTCCCAAGTGCTACTGGATTTGGAACTACCGCGTCTGGCTCTTGGACGAAGCCAAGCGTCTTCTTCCTGCTTCGATCTCCCGTCGATTCTGGCAAGAAGAATTGGGCTTGGTAGGCAAGATGCTCAACCTGGACAGTAGGAACTTCCACGGCTGGGGTTACAGACGATTTGTCATAGAGACTCTTCGGGAGCTCAAGTCCGCAGAGCAACCCAGCGAAGACATGACCCAGGCTGAATTTGACTACGCAAAGAAGATGATCGGCGCCAACCTGTCGAATTTCTCTGCTTGGCACTATCGTACCAAGTTGATCCAGCGACTACTAAACGAGCGATCAGCCAGCGATGAGGAGCGGAGAAAGATGCTCGATGACGGTAGGTTACGTTTTCCGCCGTGTGGCGCAGACACAAGCGTCTTACTGCGTGGGCATGCTAACATGTCATTTCGGAAGAGTTGGAATTGGTCCATCGTGCCCTGTGCGACCCATATGACCAGTCATTGTGGTTCTACCACCAGAACTTAATGTGCGTCTTTGATCCGACGGTAGCGGCGCAGACAATGGCACCGAATCTCAGTGACTCGGAACGCTTGGAATATCTCCGCCAGGAGATCGAAGAAATCGAAGACATGCTGGATGGGGCGGAAGACTGTAAATATCTCTACCAAGCCTTGATCGACTGTACGTTGTTGGCTTGGAAGGTGGAGGGAATAACTCCCGCCGATACGCAGAAACGAGCGGTGCTAAAGTGGCTTGCGGAGTTGAAGAAGCTGGACCCGCTGCGACAGCAACGGTGGCTGGGTTTTGAACAGTCACTTGCCTGCTGAGCCGATCATGATCATCCCTTGCCGACCGATCTGGAAACTCCGCATAAGTCCGCATAAGAATCTGATAGGTAGAACGCCATCTTCGGGATATTCTTTATGAGATTTGGATTTCTATGTCATTTTTTTCCCTTGGTCCCTTTCTCAATCAATCCTTGCTTAGCTATTATGCTTCTGTGTCCCACATATCGTCATATACACTAACCAAGTAACAAACTAAAGATAGCGGAATTCAGATATATACGTACCGCTTAGTTGGTGGAGACGGCAGCTGTCGAGGGGGTGGGTGAAAATTATTATGAATGTTGGTGGGTTTCAGAATAAGAGGTGTGTGGCTCTGGGCAGGAATATTGCCCTTAGATATCGATCAATACCAAAAGAATCAACCCACGATTCAGTCCCCATGGGAAGAGAGGAAGAGAGAAAGAGAGAAAGAGAGAAAGAGAGAAAGATAAAAATATGAAACATGCTGCCTGCAGACTTGGACATTCAATAATACGTCGTTCACCTTGTCTTTGTTGATTAGAACTTCCCCTGTCTATTATTTTTAGTCTGGCAATCAGTTGGTTGGCCTTGTCAAAAGTCTTCTTCTCCTGACTACCTTAGTAATTGATTAGTGCGGAGTACCACCAATGGTACAGTCCTGGACCTAGACAACTGGTACTGTAGTTCAAGGGGGGGAAACTTTACATGCAAGAGTCAGTCAGCCAGTCAGCCATTCATGCCACAATCACAGTACTTCGTACACAATAATAATAGAGAGACTACTCCGTACGAAGTACGCGGAGTCGAGACTGCCCAGTCGGGAACTGTCCGCCTCCTCTCCAGCTTCTAGTTTGCTGCTCTTCTCTCTCTCTCTCTCTCTCTCTCACTTTCTTCCTTCCATTCCACTCTTCTATTGTGTATTCTTGCAACCTGTCTCCAACTGCACCTAAAAAAAAGGGAGTCAACCTCCTGGATTTACTTACTGGGAACCGATCTTCCTAGTTCCGTGGCACGGTCCTGGAATTCCACCCGCTGGCTTCTGGGTCCATTCATTCCATTCATCCCCATCTCCCGTTCGTCTATCCAACCTCTCGCTGTGCACTTTCCCTCCCCCCCTTCCCTTCCTCCTCCCCTCGAGTCTCAAGTCTCAAGTCTCAACTCCTCACCTCTCTCCACCACCACAATTAATTTCTTACCTCTGACAACGGTCGGTGGCTACCGTCCCATCTCCGCCTGCCTCCACCTCCCTATCATGGAAATTTCACAATCCTGACCTCCTCAATCGCTCTCCCCCCTCCCCACGTATCGCGCGTGTATTCAGCCTCGTTGTATCAATCGGAATTTCAAATCTGGAAACCAACTGGTCTTACATAGTTTCGGCCCCCCCAGGTGGTCGGGTCTAAAATATGTCGTCTTCCAGACGCAATAGCGAAACCTACGAAGGAGTGAGCCTCTGACTCTCGATCCGAATATATTCGATATCCTTAGAGGGCCCCATAATGACAACTTACTTGTACCAGGAATCTTTCGATGATGCACCTGAATCTCCGACTTCACACGCTGGTCTTAGCGTCTCGATTCCGAAGAGTTCCTCCTCCCGATCGTTAACAGACAGCCCTCCAAGTGGATCGAATGTAACACCTCAATTGACGGAAGCACCCCCGCTACCTATAAGCTCCCAAGAGGACCCGGAACACGTTGAAGAGAGCGATGCCGCCAGTATAGACAGAAAATCCGAAGCAGAGGATACCCCCCGCAAGACCAAGAAGTCGCCATTGCTGACCGCGCATCGGCTGTCGACTACTTCCCTCGACGAGGTGAACCTTACCAGCAATAAGGAGGAAGAAGAGTCGCTCGAGAACCAACGCTTGAGCCAGGAGCTCAAATCTGGCACACCCCCACCAATTGTATCTAGAGACTCGATTTCGTCGCAGAGCTCGCGCCTTCAAGGATCGACCAATGGTTTGCCCAATGGTGCTTCCACGAACAAAGCGGCCGCTCCTGCACCACCCCCACCACCAACCCGTTCGTTCACCAGCCCCTTTGCATGGCTTTCTCGAAGCTCGTCGTCCAACAAGGAGGCTAAATCGCCTCCACCACAACCCCGCCGCAACACGGCTGCATCGATTTCCACACTCTCCAGCAATCTTGAGGGTCGACACCACGATGGAGAAGATGTGGACGGCACAGGCTCAAGGCGGCCTCGACGAAGCAGCCTGAAGGATCAATTCAAACAGCTCAGATTGCGTGACGAAGGTCTTGTATCGGAGAACGACGAAGCGAGTGTCACGTCAGGACGGGCCAGTATTAGTCACTCTGCAGGGAGCCCTCCGAGCATCCCGGAAGAAGGCGACAGCTACACGAGCATCACTCCCTCCGCAGCTTCTCCCTCCAATGGCACGTCGACTGTGAATCCAAATCTGCCTCCGGGTACAGTTGCAGGCTTCTCCGCCTCAGCGACAGATGCGTCTGCACCGGTAGACTGGGAGCTCTGGCAGCAATTAGTCAATCGTGGTCCACAAGCGCTGAAAGGGGCGAATTCGGAGGAGCTCAATGCCGCTATCAAACGAGGAATCCCGCAAACTATTCGAGGGGTGATTTGGCAAGTCCTGGCTGACAGCCGTAACCCCGAGCTGGAAGAGGTGTACCGAGAACTCGTTGCTCGTGGTACAGACAAGGAGAAGCAGCGATCCGGCAACGGTTCAGTCAGTGGACTAGGCGAAAAAGACTCTGCAAGGTCGTCATCTCGTTCTTCGGTTCGCTCAGAGCGATCTGCTTCTCTGGCACACTCGGTCAATGGCTCCTCGAGCCCTTCGCATGAACTCGATTCCGAACGGCTGGCCAAGGAACAAGCAAAGAAAGCGAAGGAGGATGCATTGGCGCTGCAAAAATTGGAGAAGACAATCCGACGCGATTTAGGCGCTCGCACGAGTTATTCGCGCTATTTTGTTTCGCAAGGGAATCAAGAGGCTTTGTTTGGGCTGTGTAAGGCGTATGCCCTTTACGATGAGGGCGTGGGATATGCCCAGGGAATGAACTTTATTGTCATGCCCTTGCTCTTTAATGTAGGTCAACGAATCTTTCAAAAGACCAATGAGTGACACTGACAATCTTGCAGATGGACGAGGCGGAGGCATTCACACTTCTGGTCAAGCTCATGAATCATTATGGTCTGCGGAAGATGTTTATTCAGGAGATGCCTGGTCTTCACCGCTGCTTGTATCTCTTCGAGCGTCTGCTGGAGGACTTTGAGCCGGCCCTCTACTGCCACCTCCGGCGACGCGGTGTACCTCCCCAGCTGTACGCAACACAGTGGTTTCTCACACTGTTTGCTTATAGATTCCCTCTACAACTAGTCCTTCGTGTTTACGATCTTATATTCGATGAAGGCCTTGAGAATGCTATTCTCAAGTTTGCTCTCGCCATCATGCGCCGAAATGCAGACGCGCTTTTGGAGATGAAGGACATGGCACCTTTGACCACGTTCTTGAAAGAGCGTTTGTTCGACGTTTACATCGACAGGCAACCGACTCCCTCCTCGATCCTGGAGTCCGGCTTCTTTGGCAGCTCGGGCGCTGCCGACAAGGAAGTCTATCGCGCGGATATCATGGTGCAGGACGCTTGCGCTATACCTCTAGAACCAGAGACGGTTAGTGCGTACACAGCTGAGTGGGAGGACAAGGTACGGACGGAAAAGGAGCGCGAGGCCGAGCTCGAGAACCTGAAGCACACTGTGGCCGTGCAAAGTGCCCGGATCCGCCAGTTGGAGGAGCAGAACGAGGCTTCTGACAAAGAGCATGTCCAGCTCGCGTCAGAACTGGTCCACATCAAGGTTGAAAACGAAGAGCTGACAGACATCAATGATGCATTGAAAATGCAAGTCAAAGAGCTCAAGATTGTAGTGGACAAGCAGCCAGCAGAGGTGGAGGAGAAGCTGCGCACAGAGATGGACCGCATCATGCAACGCAACCTTGAGGTTCAAAATGAGAACCGGTCGATGGTCGAGCAGATGGCAGAGATGGAGAAGGAGCTGGTAGAGGCCAAGATGAAATGGGCCGAGGTGAGTCTGCCTTTGAATATTCGGTTCCCGCAGTGCAACGCTGACTTAGTGAATTGAAAGATTCATGAAAACCATGAAAATCTCAAACAGAAATGGAGTGACCTCCGCAAGGCTCTCGACTAGGTCGCGGGTTGTATATTCTAGGCCAGCACTGAGTGATAGAGGAGTGGTTGCTGGCTTCGCTGCTTTTCTCCCCTCGCTCTCCTCGTTCGGTCTCCTTGACGGTTTCTGAACCATATTGTACATTTTAAAACGGCTGACAAGGAGGGGAAAACTCTTGGGTACCTTGTACTTTTAATCCCAGGCCATGATGGGCGAGGATCATGTTAGTTGTCTCATGTTTATGTTTTATCTTTACTTCTGCTCGATTCGGCAGCGAAACCAGGGCTGGCATTCAGCTATGCTCCAGCATGCATGCATGGAACTGATTGATGAATTGGATATCATACCCCAAGACACGAGTGTCTGGGCAGAGTATATTCAGATAAATATCCCCTCTTTATTGAGAAGAAAACCTCCCACAAATCATGTCGATCATAAAGTCTATACCCATTGACCACTTTATCCCTCTTCCCCTTTGGATCCTTTTCAAGTCTTCACAGAACACTCTCAAAGTACGTCGTCAACACATCCTCCCGCACGGGTCCCACCACCGCCTTCAACGCCTTGTGCGCCTCACACTCGGTATCATAGTACTTCATATCCTCCAGCGAGGCAAACGTCGTCTTGACGCTGAGATTGTACCCCTTGTTGCGAGGATCGGGGAACGAAGGCCCCGCGGCCGCGCTGACGATATATGGCTGTCCGTCCTAAACCACGTCCAGTGTGTCAGTATGCTCATTCCGTTTCCTTCAACCCAGGGTAAGTGGAGTGGAATCAGTGACGTGACTCGGGGTCTGATGCTCGGTGCTTGGGCTAAGTATGAGTATTTACCTTGACGGCCGTCTTAGCAAGGACCTTGTACTGTTCCAGCACGCGGTCCCGGGCCGCCTCGTCGGGGATCTTGAAGAGGGTGATGCGTTCGACGGCTGGGGCCATTTTGGGGAGGGTGCGGAGCATTCAATTCGTAGCCAACAGGTTTTGGATGGGGTTGGGTGGGGTATTGGCTTTTGGGGATTCGCGTGTGAGGGGCAAGTTGAGGATCAGAAGTGAGGTATCTGTATGTATGTATGTACTCCGGAGTATGTATGTATATGGTGAAAGGTGGGTGGGTGGGAGGGGAGGGAGGGAGGGCTTTATGTATCCGGATACTATTCCGTCGGGGCAGGCAGAGTATACGCGGTTGCGGGGTAGGTCCAGGGAAAATGAGAGGTGGTAATTCTACCATAGGGCGGTATTTCTGGTGGGGATTACAGTTGTTGCTGGTTAGCCTGGGTAAGATCGATCGGGTGCTTGGGGTTACTTCTTTGTGAGAAAAATACGTCTGTAATTGTTGAGCAATTGCGCTGATTATTGTATGTACTACTCAAGATCTTGAGGGGGGCTTTCCGACGGATGTTCGGCTGGCGTCGGGTACGGTCGGATGTAGTTGGGAGATGAGATGGATTGTTGATTTTTTGGGCTGTTTTGTAGGCATCGGGGCTGATGTGAGATGGTGATTCACTTTACTTTGCGAGATACTTGCGGATGTCTGGGAAGAGGTTGTTGTATGATTCGGTATGCAGGTGGTGGTGCATCTATTGTTCTTGCTTTGCTTGTTTGTGTATACCTCTAAATTAGTGGCTACTGTACTAGGGGCAATCGATGACGACGACTCCTCGACCGCGGAATTCTTTCCTCGCGCTCCCTTTCCGCCGCGCCCACCCCGGCTATTTTCCTTGCCGACGCTGCGGAATAATACCTGTCTTGCTTCCCTGTCGATCTTTCTTGATGATGATCTAATGAGATTTTCTTGTTCAGGCATAATGCAAGATATCTTATACCGATCACAGATTCCCCCGTAACGCCTGCTCTCGTTCGAAGGCTTCGAACAGACTCTTGAAGTTCCCGGCGCCGAATCCATCGAGATTGTTGCGCTGGATGACCTCCAGAAAAACCGTCGGGCGGTCTAGCACGTGCTTGGTGAAGATCTGGAGCAGGTAGCCCTTCTCGTCGAAATCCACCAGGATGTGCAGCTCTCGCAATCGCTCGATATCCTCTGCGATCCGCGGACCACCATCGGAGAGCCGCCGCCGCAGGTCGATATAATACTCGTCCGGGACGCGCAGGAAGGACATGCCGCGCAGGAAGGACATGCCGCGCTGCCGGAGTCGGCTGACGGCCGTGACGATATCGTGCGTTCGGAATGCGATATGTTGGACTCCAGCGTCGTTGTAGAAGTCGACAAATCTGTTGGTGAACTCTAGTAAGCTTGTGGTTGCGGTCGGCAGTTGATGGGCTGGGCTAGGTACGCACTCCTCGATCTGGGACTTCTTCTTCCCAGGTGCTGGCTCGTTCATGGGCATCTTGATCACTTCATTGGGTGACGCGACGACGATGGAGCGCATGGCTGAGTATTCCCCACACATGCTCGAGTCGTCCACGGTCCAGTACCGGTGGAAGTTGAAACAGTCTTCGTAGCTGCAGTGGTGGCGCTTAGCATGCATTCTCTCAGCATCATGCACCGGGTAGACTTACTATTTCACGACGGAGCCGACACCGTTCGAAGGCTGGTTGCCGACGCAATGGTCGATTTCGATAAAGTCGATCTGTGGAAGGAGTCGATTTATGGGATCCTCCTCAACCACCGCCTTGTAGCCGGGGAGGAAAGGCCCTGAGTAGTGTTGCCGGCTGATCAGCGTATGCGTCGTGTCTCCATACGCCCCTACAGTAGCCACGCTGATGCTGCCACTGTCTCCGTCTGCTAAAATCTGAGGTGCCGTGATGGAAGTTGCACCGTTGCTGATCGCTCTCTTCCAGATACTCTCCACATCACCATCGATCCTGAACGCGACATCTTTGACTCCGTCTCCGTGTTTGGTCAAATGAGCGTGGATCTCAGCTAGAGAGGGCTTCTCATCGCACTCAGACACAGCGCCATCTGTCTTTGACGGAGTACGAACGGGCGAGGTAAGGACAAAGGTGGCGCCGTGATTGGCAACCACGTAGGACACGATATTCCGAGACCCCGTGTCGGGTCCCCGGTATGCAACATGCTCGAAGCCCAAGCGAGTGACGTAGTAGCTTGCAGCCTGCTTCGCGTTGCCAACATACCATGTGATATGGTCGAAGCCCACGTATTCTGGGCCCAGGTTTGAAGGAGAGAGCTCCTCCTCGGCCTGAGACAAAATAGCCATGGCAAGGATACAACTCGTAGAGAGCGATTGAAGTGAGGATAGACTTTACCCGTGCACCGGTAGACAGCACGCCTCATAGTCTAGACCTTCTTTTCTTGCCCACTCTAACCCTGTCTTATATCTTTGACCGCGTGTTTGAGCTATGTCGTGAAACCCAGATCTGCTCCGATATCGCCATGATAGGATTGTATTGTCGTTGCAAGGGTTTCCCCTTCTCCCCTTGACTTTGGACGACGGCAGCAACAAGGTTCAGCCTCTGACATCTCCATGACATGCTCCCGCCAAGGCAGGTTTCATCTGAACCAGGTCCCCAGAGTGCTCTCCAGCAGCTACTGTAGCCTGGAGCAAGCATGTGCATGTCACAAGAACACTGCACTCGTTTGTATCCTCGTGTTTCCCCCCCTAAAGGTCATTGACCGGCTCCGGTCGATTCTTGAAGTAAATTTTGTATCGCACCACCTCGACCACCTCCAATTCGTCACTCTCGTGCCCCCCCGCGGAACCCGCCGGCGCCGGAGTCGGCCTCCGCTGCACGAGAGCCAGCGGCTTCGGCAGCTTCTTCACCTCGCCTGTTATGCGTTGGTAGCGTCCGACGTAGAGGTAGACCCGCTTCATCCAGGCCGAGTCGTCCGCGGGATTCTGGGGCGAGTAGTCCGGGAACATAAGCTTGCCGATCGGAGTCTCAAACACGGAAGCCCCGTCGGGAGTTTCGGCGGAGTGCGAGCGTTCATCGTGGGAAGCAGGGATATTAATCGTGCCTTGGAGTTCCAAGAGCGCTAGGCCGGAGGGAGTTTGGAGGAGCTGGGGGAGAGGGTTAGGAACGCGTGAGGGAGCTCGCGACGCGCGCGGGTGGAGGGTGATGGATGGCATGGTGAGATAGTGCGATAGTCAGAGTCGAAATTGGGAGCGAGGATATGCTCTGATAGGGCGCTTGGTCAGGTTTCTGCACGGCAATGAGCAGTATGTCTGCTGGTTCTGGTGGGTTGAAAGATCAGTGTAGAGTCTCTGAAGCCGGGTGGGAAATTAGCGCGTCACGCATGCATTGGTCTCGCGCGCGGTATCTTATCGGCGTCCCCTTTTGATTACAGTCGTTCGTCACATGAATTGATGTCAATCATGGTGACGCCGCAACGTCGATAGCGGTGATTTATGAATCATTGAATATCAATCCTACGAAAGAAGATATGTGTGAAAATAGGAATGGGCTCGACGAGACAAGGTGCAATCATAAGACAGAAGAGTTAAAATTCCCATTTCATTTATTACTGCTGGCGAAAATGTGCCCATGCTATGCCAGAAATCCATAAGCTGCCCAGTCGTGCCCCAAGTTAGGTTGAGTGCTCTTGGTACCAAAGCGAGCTGAAGTGGTATGGCTGGTGCTGTCCATGATGGATCGATCAGGCCGGGTTTGTGAGCCGAAAATAGCGAGGCGTTGCTGGATGGCTATGCAGAAAGAGTGCGATTCGATTAGTCTCTCCTTTCGCGCAGTTTTGACAGTACCGTGTCTTCGAGACACAGTGTTCCTGCAGAATAACGCAATCTGCGCTAGCAGATCCTGATTCAGAGGATGACCAGTGCTGCGGCCGATCATAGACGGCGCGCGGTTATGTTGGCGGATCATTGAGTCGACCGACAATCTAGTGATCAGAAGTAAGAATAGAAATTGACAGATACACCAAAGTCGGAGATTATTGCCATCGAAATCGTTCAGCTGTTGCGGTAGCAAGCATTCTCAAGGTTCTGGAGACCCCTTATGGCCTCGTTGACTACCTCCTCGCCTGTCATGCCCACAGGGCCTTGCATCTTGCCATACCGCAGGTCACTCAAGTCACCCACCAGGCCATTGAGATCGGACAGGAGTGAGCTTGCTTCCTTGTCGACTTCGGTCACCTCGTTTTCCACGTTGGAGCATGCCGTCTGCATAGCCGCGAGGAGACTCGATACTGAGTGGTAATTAGACGTAGAAGTCGTCTGCCCAAACAGCTCGACATCCATGTCCATCTCGCGCTGCTCAGCGGAGCTAATGCCATCAATGCCTGTCTTCATCAAGGATTTACGGAGCTCTGCCTTCTGGCGTTCGCCCTGAACTGCTTCCTTGTCAATGTTCTCATTGACTAGGTCCATGTCCTGCTCGCGAATCTCTTGTAGTTCACGATAGAGAACCCTGATGTGCGGGTGAGAGCGTAGTCTCTTTGGGAAGAGCTCGGTGAACTGCTGCAACGAGATGATCGTTGGCAAGGGAGCTGGGGTCAAGAGGAAATTGCTCAGAATGGCTGTCTCTGAAGGTGCCATGATGGATCGTGTTGCCTTAAGGAGCGCGGCTATCTAAAACGAGCTGGAGGTACTCAGCTCTTGCTTGCCGGCCCGAATGGTAGTTTCTTTCTCTTAGTGAAGGACGATATTTGGTGCCCACAGTGGCTGTGGTGTTATGCTTAATCGGGACAAATCGCGTTCCAAGCCAATCAGAAATTGGAGACGGCGATATAGGTGGGCGATGAAGGGGGAGAGAAGCAATTCAAGAAAAATAGATAAAAGAGTAAATGTTACTTTATTGTATGCTGTGGCTTTGGGAAGGGTTGTAAGGTTGCACGTAGGGTCATTCGTTATATCAAAGAGTAAGCGAAGGAGTGGTGGAGAGGGAAGAAGAGGAAGGGCGAATGTTCCAATTTAGGCCATCAGGCCGTGACTTGCCCTCTCGGACGCGTTTCTCTCCAGACGGTGATCCCGCGGGCTTCCTCTTTCTTGCCCCAACCGCGACATGCGATAACTAACACTCACCAACTCAACCCCTGCAGCTTGTCTTTCCCCCCAAATCTCAAGATACTTCATTCATGCCCGTAGTATATTGACTTGTGGCTTCAACTATCGCACGTGAGACATGTGACCAGCCTCCATCCAAATTCATGACATTGACCTTGACCCTAGCCATCCAAACAGACATATCTCTCTTTCTGAGGAGATCAAGACAACTCTCTAGCGGCTGAACCACTCAGCTTGGAGACTTGCAACTCTGACACTGATTTAACTCTTCTTGCCAAGGGGCTTTATCCGCTCAAGGAATTCAGTCAACTTGTTGCACGTGCTGTTCAGGAGCAAGAGCACTGATCGGGGCTAAAGCAAGCAGTAGCCCTGATACAGGAAAGATTCACCTCTCCTGGATTCCCTCACAGCTTGATACAACCCAGGTATCAGTGTTCTGTGTCGTTGTCGGCAGCATCATTCTTGTGACCAAAGAATACCCCTCGCCTTAAAACATCACTCACCTATCTCATCATGGCACCTGCAAGCCACATGAACTATCAGAAGGACGAGAGAGTCCTTTGCTTTCACCATGAGATTCTCTATGAAGCAAAAATTCTTGACCTGAGGCACATTGATCCGGATGACCGCAAGAGTCCGTACGAGTACCTTGTCCACTACAAGGGGTGGAAGAACACGTACGTCTTATCCTCGCCTTATCACTCGTGATCACTTCTCCTTCTTGAAATCTTGTCAAAAACTTACCCTCATGGCCTCGAAAAATGCTATCTCCCATGATTTCGTGTCGCTCGATGTTTTGTTACCCCATTCTCTGCAGAAGAAGGGGTTTACTTCCACTTGTGATTGTCGATGTGGCTGCTGTTACCCTGGGCCGGTGGGGCGGGATCATCAGAGCCTGGCTGACTGATATGCTGGTTTACTGCAATTAGATGGGACGATTGGGTCCCGCAAGATCGACTTCGTAAATTTACTGATGAGAATCGAGAGTTGGCCACGACTCTTCGTCGTGAGGCCGAGGCTGCGTTCCGCCAAAAGAACGTAAAACCCACTGTGAAGAAACGGGGAGGCTCCGATCGCAGTTCCGCCCGGGACAGTGAGGAGAGGCAAACTTCAGTTCCGGGCCGCGGGACGAAGAGAGCACGAGAAAATGATATTGAAAAGGTATGTTTGCTTCTAACTTTGTGTTCAAACATAGGCTTCGCCCGTCTCGCACATTATTGCAGTGTCTAGTGACAATGTGCCCAAAGGATAGGCATATTACTAACAGTCCCAATACAGGAGGAGAGCTTCTATGTCCGGCCATCAGTGCGGATTGCCATGCCCGATAATTTGAAATCTCTTCTGGTCGATGATTGGGAGAATATCACTAAGAACCAGCAAGTGGTGGCACTGCCAGCCAAATGTTCAGTTAGCCAGATATTGGACGATTATGTCAAGGAGGAGAAGCCCAAGAGGACGAGCACGGCTGACCTAGATGTTCTTGATGAGATCGTCATGGGTATTCGCGAATACTTCTACAAGGCACTAGACAAGATCCTCCTCTATCGCTTTGAAAGGGAACAGTATAGTATGATCCGCAAGAGGTGGGAGGATGGCAATGGGGATTGGGCCGATAAAGGTCCTCTTGAGACCTATGGCGCCGAGCATCTGACACGGCTTTTTGGTAGGGTTCACTTCCCCACAACTTGCTGCGAATGCTAACCTCTTGTTCTTATAGCGACCATGCCTGAGCTCATCGCCCAGACGAACATGGACGCTCAATCCACAACCAGGCTTCGGGAAGAGCTCTCTAAGTTCACACTCTGGTTGAGCCGCAATTCGGCCAAGTACTTTGCAACTAGGTACACGAATGCCAGCAACGAGTATATCGAAAAGTCGCGCGGTGCTCCAAATCCAGCTCCGGCCACCGCTACCTCGCGTCTTGTCTGATGAACTGAATATGGGAGTCCTAGCGATCTGCGGCAGTCGATCTCGTGGTGCGTTGTTGATCTTTTCGAATTCTTTTGGGGGCCAATTTTTTGTGTTGTGGACTATGGTCGAGCACTAGTCTTGTGGCGCTCTGATGCATGCTACGATAATGCTATCACTGTAACATTAATAGGATAAAAAACCTGGCGGAAGTTTCTGGCGTCCGAATTGAGTAATAATTTGTTTCCTTGCGGGATAGGCTGGCCACCGGACATGGTATTGAAATTTGACACTGCAGAAAACGCATCAACCATTTAACCAAACTCGCGCACCATGCATACACAGCTTCTTCCGCAGGTCGGAAGGGACTTTCTGACGTAGACTTCATTCCCCCCCCCCAAATGCTACGTGAAACAGAGCTCTCCTCTTCTACCCTCTCTACTCACTACCAAATGCACGAGTATATCTTCAAGACACATACACACACACACACCGACTCACGAATTGTCCTACGCGACTAGTTGCCTAGCATCATCCACGGCGCACCGCGTCGCGCGCTTCAATTCCACCTTCCAGTCCGCCTCCCGGAATTTCTGCCACGCACTGAGACCCTCCAGCGGCGGGATACTCAGCGTCTCATACCCTTGCTTGATGATGCGATGCACCTCCCGCGGACTGAGATTCTTCTTCAGGTTCGGAGACACGGGCGCCGGGCTCTCGCCATCCGCCGCCACACCAGCCTCGCCGCCCTTATCCGGGACAAACAGGAGGGTGTGGAAGTGCGTGGAGACGGAGATCAAGGTTTCGATCGCGGTGACGTGGACCTTTGTGCTACTGGATGAGGTGGTCGGGTCCGTCTTGGGAATGTGGCCTACCGCCACCGCCGAGTGAGGGCCGCTGATATTGCTGCTGCTGCTGGTCTTGAAGGCATACACATCGCGGAATCGGGCGATGATGGGGCCGGTCTCGACAAGCTTGTAGAAGAGGTCATCGTAGCTGGACGGGTCTGGGAGAAAGGTGTCCCCCGCGGAGACGCAGAAGGCGATCAGGTTGACCAGGGTGGTGGTGAGGGTGTGGATGTGCGGGGTGCTGGTGATGAGGTCGGCGACGTAGGTGGTCAGGAAGCGCATCAGGGAGAGTAAGGTGCGCCAGAGTTCGGACCAGTGGTAGGTGAGGCGGATCTTGTTTTTGGAAAGGTAGGTGAGGAGGCGGAGGAAGATGGCGATGCAGTGGCTGGATTTGGGTGTCAGACGTTTTTGAGAAGGAGGGAGTGTGTGTTAGATTGGGGAGATGGCGGGAAGGAGGGTTAATGGACGTACCTGTAGAGATTCACATCGAGGCGACGTCGAAGGTTATGAGTCAGGGTATCAATGAGGATGTCGAAGATGGCTGTGGTGGGGACTCGCTCGCCGACTATGAGAGGCAGATATGGTTGCTTTTGGCGACAGAGTCGGACTTTGCGCTTGCTTTCGTCGCTGCAAAGTTGTTTGCAGAGGGCGTTGTCTTCGGATATTATGCGGAGGATCAAGAGGTTGAGCTCTGCGTAGTGGGCGGTCCGCGGTGATCGGTAGGCATGCTGTAGAAGATAGGATGTCAATGAGAGGAATGATGCGAATGGCGACTCCTCGTTGTCCTTCTCGGGGGCCAAGCTGATGAGATGAAGCCCGAACAGTTTGTTGGCATTGATGAAGTCGTAGGTAGCTAGGAGAATGGCCGCTTGTTGCGCGGGCCTGCTTTCGTTAGCTGGTCCTTGGGACAAGAATGACGCTTGTTGAAGCTCGTACAGTGATGTAAATAACTCCTTCGCCTCCTCGGCAGTTGGTGGATTCGGCCGATCCTTCTTACTGGAAGCAAGAGCGCCCAAGCCAAAGTACATCAGCGTGCTGATCAAAGTCCAGCCCTCGGGAGAGTCGTCCTGCACGGCAACATATCCGTTTCTGAGGGCTCCACAGGAGCTACCAACTCCCCTGGCGATCTTCTGGATGCTCGCTTCATTCACAAAGTCGTCAAGCCGCAGCTGGTACGGATTCTGCATCTCGAACTTGTTGTAATTTGCTAAAAGCCCGAGAAGAAGAAACGGCTCGAATACTTGCACGGGCGTCTCTGACTCTTGTACGAACTGCGCTGCATGTCAATTTGAGTATTCCGACGGACGGAAGAGGTCGTCGAACGAACCTTCATGATTGAAGGGAATAGGTCACGATGCGTGAGATATGAGACGAGGCTGGTCTTATTTGCGCCAGCAGTCATTGCAATAGCAGTCTTGATGGCCTGGAGCCGTAGCGCATCTAGATGAATAGTCAGCGTTTGACCACAACTCTTCCATTACGCTAAAAACTCACAGGTTTTGCCATTGCGAATGATCCCATCCAAGACAGCGACGAAGTTGAAGATTGCATGGTCAACATTGTCGAGACCGGCGAGAACGGTGATCACATCTGAGCTGGGATTGGTGTATTTCTTCTTCAAGACACAGGCTAGAAAGACCGTCAAGGTCTATTGTCTGCTTAGAGTTGGGAATTCAGCTTCGAGGAATATTGACCCACCTCAAGAGCATACGAATCAACGGGACTGGATCCCGACGCAGCTTCACTTATGGCACGAGTGAAGAGCTGCTGGGTTTGAGCCTGCTAAAAAGTGAGCGATGGTCATTCTACACCTTCGAACTCATAATCACGTGGACCATTGACCTGCAGATTCAGGGTTTCATCAGGACTGAGCTGATTTAGTAGTGCATTGAGCTGGCTCCTATCCGGTGGCAGCAAAAAGAATTCTCTCCAGAAACCCTCCGAGGGTTCTGCAAAATCCGTGGTCTAGCAGATTGGTCAGATTTATGTGATGTAGAAACATAGGTTGATGTACATACCTGGAATAGGTTCTCGTATAGTTGCACGATCTTCGGTTTGAAGGTTTCCGGTCTACTTTGCTGGGTCAAAGGGGAATCCATTATGCTTAAAGATTGAGTTGGACGATCGGCACAGAACACAAGATCATGGCCAATATTGTAGATAAGAGCAGAGAAGTCAAGGCTGACCTAAATGCCTGGCGGACGAGGAGGATGTTATTGACTTCCTATGCTTTGAGGGGGGAATTCAGCGGTCGTCGCCTTATTCGACACCACTCTTTTTCTGCCTTTTTAGGCCATCAATCCCCACCACCTGGTTGGCACCACTACAAGCCACATCCCCTATCTCTCCCTCCATCTTTCCACGAGCCTGTCCATGTTTCAAGGAGAGACCAAATCAAAACACCGCTACAACAATGTTCGAGAAGCACCTTTTCACTTGAAATCTTCTCATCCATTAATTAAAACTCCTTGTCCCAATCTATAGAAGCTAGCTACGAGAACATCTGCTTGTTGCCGATGACATAATCAGGGGATGTGCGACCTACGAGTAAGTTTGACCATGTGGCATCTTCATGAAATAAACCGTCAAGGGGGGTCCAGAGATTATGACCAGTTTTGAGGAAAGGTTGGTGGTGGTGAGAACATAGTCTACTGCCCGTGTAGCAGCCCTGCCGAGGAAGGTTAACCCGGACATACATTCTTGATCACCTTTGAATTATTTCGGCCTAAACATAGCTTAACAATATGATAGGACTCCTGTAAATTGATGTTTGTCGAATGCGGAAGAAAGCAGTTAGTCATCTGATTCTAAGTTGACACCTGAGGTGCTCAGGTATCAAATCATGACTAAGAAACCCATGTCCAATGGCAGGGCAGTGAATTCATGCGTTGTGTGAATGACGGGGAATGAAGCAAATCATGATGAACGGAGAACAAACAAATGAACATGTCACTTAAAACCAGTCACTAAGGAATGGTAATCATTAGTTATTGGGTCTTACCCCAGTCTCACTCTAATGGATTTACTCAGGCTTCCTCAGTTTCTAGTCTAGAACAGCAGAGTGCAGTGGCGCCACTTGACCTGTGTAGAAACACCTCAATGCTGATTGGCCGATGCGGACCTGGCCCTGACCTCTTTTAACCGACTCAGGACCCGACCCGGCGTTCTTCCGCCTCCCCCAAACAGAACTCGATCTTTCCCGACTCACTTCCATCCTCCTCCTCGCATCCTCTATCACAATCACTACCGTGACCCAACAACCGTTTAGACTCCGTGGAAAATTAGCTATACGCTGTTCCTGTCGCTTCATATATCATCTGCTATCGAATTTCAAATCACCGCCTCGTTTTATCACAGTCACGATGCAGTCTCCAGTGACATCATCCGCCACGCTGCTCAGCTTGTTGAGACAGTCATCGAGCAGACGCACAGCGCAGACATGCCGTCTTTTCTCCTCCTATGGAAACTCACAGCGCTCTTCTTCGAAGCGTGAGTTGCAGACTGCTACCGCATACCGTCCACACAGTCTGCCCACTTCCTTCCCGCCACCTCGGAGCCCGGGGTCGTCCGACACCTCCATTGCCGCAGACTTCCCCTCCTTCCGCGAGATGACCTCGCCTCAACTTCCTGGCCAACAAGCCTATTCTCCGAACATCAACCTTCACGAAGCCGAATCACCGAAGTCCAAGCCTGTCGAGACCTCTCCCGCCACTACCGCTAAGCCCGCCGAGAAGCCCCGCAGAAAACTTCGCGCCCGCAAGGCTGCTATGAAAGTGACCCCGGTGGCCATCGAGCAACTTCGTAAACTCTTGTCCCAGCCAGAACCCAAGCTGATCCGCGTGGGAGTCAAGAACCGAGGCTGCTCTGGCCTCGCCTACCACTTGGAGTACGTGGAGAAGCCGGGCACTTTCGACGAGGTCGTGGAGCAAGACGGTGTCAAGGTCTTGATCGATAGCAAGGCTCTCTTTAGCATAATCGGAAGTGAGATGGACTGGCAAGAGGACAAGCTCAGCAGGAAATTCGTCTTCCGCAACCCCAACATTAGTAAGCATAACCTGGTCTCACCGGACAACCGCACGGAGCGCATACTAACAATTCTCCTCAGAGGAACAATGCGGATGCGGTGAATCCTTCATGGTATAAGTCGCTGATCTGCGCTTCCATCCGACTTTGTTATTCAATAATTGGATGAACTGGGTTTTGGGTTTCTACATGCATCGAATGGCGTTCTGTGGGCGGTCTTCTTTGGCGAATGAGCTTCTTCCTTCTTTTCTTGAACATACACTCTGATTCCCGGGCACATAGCCCACCAACTGTGCAATATATTCTTTCCTCTCTTTTCACATGTGGATGATAACACCTAACAACTCTGCTGATCAGACTGCGCCATCGCACATGGCAATGTGGTGGTCCAGTCATTCTCAATACATATAATTGGGAAGACAGTTCGAACAGTTATAGCTCCAACTTGAGTTAGGTGTAATGAAGAAAGCTGGGTTGGTCACATAGCCTAGCTGTCGGTAGCACGACAACAAAGACAATTTACTCATAATCTCCATATGTGCCCTTGTTAACGATGTTCACGCGAGCAATTATGTTTAATTAAAAATATCCAGAAACAGTCTCGGCGCGCGTAAATCAATATAATGTGCATTAATCCGAATTTGACGCAGGTAAAACCACTGAGTTGCTGGGAGTAAAAACTGGTACCCGGGGTAACAAGCTCAGGGTCAAGCACTGCTTAGCCTGTGCTAGTCTTGTGGCTTCAGCATGACGCCGTCGCCCTATTCCCAGGTTTTATACATAACACTAGACCCAGAAAGGGTCAGGTGCGTTGCTCAGGCTGCAAGATGATCGATGATAGACTAGGGAAAAGCAGTAACGACGTATCACGTGGGGATAGCATTTCGGACAATCAGCCCCATTTCTCCGCTTTATCAGCTTATCGACGCTCCCCTTTTCGTTCCTTCATCCCGCACCACCTGTGACGCACGGCCGTATCACTTGCTTCCCTACAACAACACCTCCATTTAGAAAAAAACAAAAAAAGCACAATGTCGACGCCGACATTTCTCACTCCTGATCGCACGCTCGACCTCATTAATCCCACCCAACCCCCACTTTACGTCATCATTCGCTTCTCAGCCTCGATCCCCGACCTCCCCCTCGACATCTTCTCCCCAGAGACCACCACATCCGCCGGTCTGAAACAACTCATCCGCACACGCCTGCCCCCAAATCTCTCGTCCCACCGTCTCCGTCTAATCTACGCCGGTCGTGGCCTCGAGGATGCCACCCCGCTCGCCGCATCCCTCAAACTCCCGCCATCGTCTTCCGCCCGCTCCACCCCGCGGCCCCCGGAGGACGACGAATCCACCACCACCTCGAAGGGCAAGGGCAAGGCCCCCGTGCGCGATCCACCCCGCCTGTATATCCACTGCTCCATCGGCGACATCGTCCTCTCTCCCACCGACCTCGCCGCCGAAGCGGCCATCGCGTCCACCCTCCGGCAACCGCAGGACTCAGATTCGGAAAATCAGGACGCTCACAATGGATCGCCATCTGGCTCTCGGCGTAGGAATCAGGGGCCCGCGCCTTCGGCATTGGACTCCGGCGCGGCGACAACCACGACACCCGCGCCCCGCGGATTCGACCGGCTGCTGGCGGCGGGGTTCACGCCCGCGGAGGTGACGGCGCTGCGGTCCCAGTTCATGGCCATCCAGGCGGTTTCGCGCACGCCGGATACGATGCCCAGCGGGGCGGAGTTGCGCGAGATGGAGGATCGGTGGATGGATGAGGGGTCGTCGGCTGTGGCGGCCGGGGGAGGAGTCACTGGTGGTGGTGGTGGTGCTGGGGAGGGGATCTCGTTTGCGGAGGACGATGGTGGGTTTGGGCCTGGGTCGCGGGGCGCGATGGACGATATGCTTTGGGGGGCGGTGATGGGGTTCTTCTGGCCGGTGGGCTGTGCGATGTGGTTGCGGCGAGAGGAAGGGGTCTGGAGTTGGCGGAAGGGGTTTGCGGTGTTTGTGGGGGTGGTGGTTAACGTTGCCTTTGGCGCGATGCGGATCATGAATTAGTTGTTCTGGATGGTGTTCTGTTTCGGCTTTTCTGGTCTACTTGAGCGGGATACCCTATTGTGTTTTTTTCTTTCTTCTTCATTATTTTGGTTGGAGTTATTCAATGCGTTCCATGTAGTGCTGGGCACAATGATTTTGGATTAGAGCTGGAAGAGTGCTATCATACAAAATTCCGTGGAGGAGTCTGCTGATGCAGACGTGTATATGTCGTAACAAAGTACTACAAAGGTAAAAATATGGTCATCCCATGGTAACGCCCGCTGGAAACCCACGCTCAGTGGAACTTGCTGTAGATCACAGCGAAAATCAAAAGAATTAACACAGTAATGATTGCAATGGTAATCAGCCGATTCGTAGCCATCCTATATGATGCAAGTTAGCACTGATCCGTGCGCAAATGATTGCAGCAATTGCATTGCTGCGGGGGGTTCGGCAGAAGGGGCCAGTACCTACGGGCCATGCCCCTCAATGTCTTGATACTGGTATCCACATAGCCTTCACTCTCCAACAGGCGACCTCGAGCATTGATGATGGTCTCCCGCTGCTGGTTCAGATCCGCCAGCGTGTTGCGGCCGATGTCCTCCGTCTCGAGCGCGATGCGCTGACTCTCCTGGAGCCGGGCGGAACTGCGCTCCAGGCGCTCTGTACCAGACAAAAGTTGCTGGCGCTGTTCCAGATGCTCGTCCTGCGGGTCATCCGTGTACCGGTCGCCGAAGAGGGCTTTGCGGTCGTCCGACAGAGACCGCAGCTTGCGCTTGGCCTCATCAATGTCTGTCGCGTAGTTGCGGACCCGGGTGTTGATTTTCGATCGGGCGGAGGAGGGGATGTTCTGTTTCTCCATGCGCATTTGATCCAACTGTATTTCGATGAGGGGAAGGTTAGATTGAGGGGTTGAGATGTATCGCGCAAGGGACAGGCGTCCGGCAACGCACCAATTCCGTGGCCTCATCCAGTGCTCTTTCCGCTTGCCGGATGGCAGACTTCCGTTGTTCACCGCTCGACTCGGAGATCTGATCTAGCTTCTGGTTGAGGTCGGCCTGAACCAGCTTCAACTCGGTCTCGTAGCTGCTGAACAGCTCGGAGCCGGCATCGGTGTCCAACGGGTTCGACATGGTGGTATGGGTGTGAAGTGACACTGTTTGAGGGGTTGGCTATGGCGAGTGTCCTCGAGATAGTCAATCGAGGCTTGTTGAAGTAACGGATCGATAGGGGGGGGCGTCGTGGTGGATCGGATAAGGCGGAGAGATTGGCCACTTGTATCCTCGTGGTGGCTGGCCAGTGCCTGCTGGATCTCAGAGGGATTGAGCCCGCCTAGAAAGGTCAACGAGCGGATGAACTGGTACGGTGACTGAGTTGGGCCCTATATGAAAACCCGAACGCTGATATAAACAAACTTCGACCGATGAACAAATTAGAGATGAAGATGGATGAAGAAAGTCACCGAGTTGGTTGAAGTGCCTATTCCATACCAGGAACGGCCGGCGGCTTCTACTTGTCGGGCGGCCTGCACGTGATTGGGGCTGGTCTCCTCCCAGTCCGAGGCTGCCACTGAGTATGATTTCCGGACTGACGTCGCCAATTCAATATCAATTACTTCTTTATGATCCTATTGTCTTCACTTATTGTTGCTTTGACTCGGTCAGGCGCCCCCTCGCGTGGCTTTCTAATGAGCAATGTTTTCTCTATCTTCTCACTGTCAAACACCTGTGGTATACTTTGACAGCGATTGTCATATGTGGACAAAGGCGCGAAGGAGTTTCTCAGTCAAGTGTTGATCGCATCCCCCCGCTCAACTTATTGTTGGCCCCTCTTTCCGCCATTATCGCCTTGGCTGGGTGGAGCTGCGACGGGTTCCCTCTTGCGTCTTGACCGCCATACAAGGTCGCTTCCTTCGATCGATCTATAAGTCATCCCCCTTATAAACCAAAAATAAAGAGGTCACGCACCTTTTCTTCTGCAGATCAACATCGGAAGAAATTCCTGCTTTGCCCCAATGGATGGCTTGAGAGGCTCACAGATCTCTATATTAAGCTGATTTACCCCTCGGTATTCCCGTCATATGATGTGATCACACCGGAAAGCCACATGAGGGCAAATCGGAAGCAATAGTAGGGCAGAGAAAATCTGAACGTGTCTGCGCTGATAAGCCTGTCGCCTTCACTTGCTGCATTGATTTCCACAAGCCTCTTTTTATATTACAAGCCCCTGTCAGCTTCCGCGGTAGAGGCCAGGAACCATCGCCACTGTGTCTGAAACTAAGACACGAACCTTGAATCGAGCAACTTCAACCGCAGAGCCAGCGAGGAACTCCTATATCGGACTGCAAGAGCCAATGGCCGAAGTGACTGTCGAGTGCCATTATTCTCATGCCTGTCTCACAGCGAGAGCGTGTCGCTATAATAGGGGGTGGTTGCACGGGAATCACCTCGTTCTGGGCATTGCAGAGGTCCGGTCATGACGTCCACCTTTTTGAAGCCTCTGATGCTCTCGGCGGGCGTATCAAGTCACTGCCTTTCGAGCATGAGGGCATTCAGATGAACGTGACTTCAGAATCATCTGTCTACAATGTTGAGGCCTCTCGTCAGTGTCATTTTCCCATGATGTCGTCTGGACTGGACTGATTTGCAATCCAGCAAACTTGGATTCATTGCTGCGCTACCTGGGAGTGTCGACGATCAGACATCGATTCAGCGTCAGGGCAACTGACGGAGATCGCAGTTCCTGGTGGAGTGACAGTCTATTGCAAAGCATCCTTCTGCGGCCCTGGATCCTTTGCCGCAAGGAGACGTACGTGATATTGTCGGATATCATCTGGCTCAAGTTCTTAGCCATCGACGTGCTACGTAAGGATGTCTCGCCATACACGACCAGTAACATTGATTCACTTCTCTCTGCCAAGAGATATCTGTCGAAAGAAGGATATTCGGCCAGCTTCCGTGATGAGTACCTAGCTCCAACACTTTCGGTTTTATGGGGCACAAATGCTGGGAAGCTCCTTTCACGGCTACCTATCGAAGCTGCTATCCGCTGTCTGTATGACCATCAACTGCTTCGGCCGCGGCAGAATGTTCCGAAGTGGCGTAGCATAGAACGGGGCGCGAGCCGCCTGGTGCAGGTCCTTTCTCGCGATTTTGATCCTTCTAAGGTACATTTAGAGGCGAGAGTCCGACGAGTGACCTGGTACGACAAGAAGGTCTATAGACTGGTTACAGCAGATGGCCGTGAAATTGATTTTAATCGCATCATTTTCACGGTCGATAGCGAAGAGGTCGTGCAGATATTGGGGCCTCTTGCGAGCGCGCAAGACAGAAAGATCATTGGGGGCTTGGGAACAACGAAGAACATATCTGTGTTGCATTCGGATTCCCTCGTGGGTGAAGGCGTAAGGCCCTCAGCTCAATTCGTGGCGGGTGAGGGTTGGGGAAGCGCTGCTCACCAGTTGGGCCAGCTTCTGCTTGAAAGAGAGCATTCTGCGACCGGCTACACCTATGTGCTGGAGCCCATCGTGCCCGGGCGCTCATCCGAGGACTCAATGCCCCGGAAATCTAGCCTCAGCTATAATGTTAATGCCTTGGACAGTATTTCAGCGTCTCTTTACGGTCCGATATACATCACGCTGAACCCGATTATGCCACCTCACCCTAGCATCGTGCAGAGTGTATGTGAATTCACTGAGGCAGATCCAAGCTTCAGCACACTGCAGGCACAAAATGATCTTGCGCTCATTCAGAACAAACGAGACTTGAGCTACGGATTCTGTTGGACGGGCCGTGGGCACCTCGAGGATGCCATCACTGCAGGCTTGCGGATAGCGATTGAAGACTTGAACGCAGAAGTCCCTTTCCCAGTCGAATTCCACTCCAAACCTTTCGCGGCGGACCTGCCCCGTCCAAGCCTGAGCCTCCCTCTTCACATAATTCGGACTCTACTCCGCCTACTCCAAGTTTTTGTTCTTGTTCTGGAACTGCTGATGCCCTTGCTGCCTGGACCGGCCTCGCGATTCATAGTTCGCCGCCACAGACACTTATCGGGGCAGGAGCCTGGGAAGCTGTCTTGACAAAGAGAACAATGGAAGATCTGCCCCTCTTTGTCTATCAGATTGAGTTAAACTGCTTAGGAACAATAGACTGAATAGATCTCTTACCGAGACTTGGCGCCGAGTATACAGCTCATTGGGGTATAGCTACATCTGACTGCTCTCGGCTAGAAGTCTCAGATCCATCTCTCACGATGGCAGGCACGGTATGATAAGTTGCCAGCTAAGCTTAGAATCTTAAAATTTTCATATGGATCGTTCCAGTCCATCTGTCTGTCGAAGTACATCACAAAAGAAAAAAAAGACAGGGATTAGGCCAGACCAAAAAAAAGCTTACGTTCATTAAACTCCGATCACAAAAGGCATCACTCTGTTTGGATTATCTATTTCAGGAACTTGTCGTCATCCTGGCTGACGATCAAAGCACTTCTCTTGGTGTCGATGAAGAGATCTTCGACCTCAGCCACGTCGGCCTCCTCGATGCCACCCGGCCGGCCGTTGACCCGGGCAAGGATGCTGGCGGGGGTCAATAATTGCAGAGCATAGCGCAAGCTGACCTTGCTGCCGTGTTCCGACACCTTGTCCAAGGCCGGGTCGGTGATGGTGATGCCTTCCGTCTTCGCGCGCAGGCGAATGATGGTCTTGATCTCGTCGTGGGTGTAGGGGTGAGTGGGGATGATGAGGAGACGGGCGAGGAGGTCGGGAGGAATGCCGTGGGCGGCCGAGATATCGTCCGTGCCGCGGATGACGGTGTGGCCGCGATTGGAGGCGAGGATGACGATGGGGGAGATGGTGGATTCGAGGGCCCGGTTGAGGTACGTGAAGCATTCGATGTCGAGCATGTGGACCTGGGGGGTTGTGTTGTTAGAATAACTCGCACGTATTTTGAGGGAATTTATAACAAACCTCGTCAATGAAAAGAACACCAGGGACAAGCTCTGCCACACCTTGGTCGATGTAGCGGTTGACGACCTTGTTGATCTCCTGGCGCAACTTGTCCGTGATCTCGGTCTTCTTGGGCTTCATCAGCTGGCCCATCATGCTCATCACGTCCTGTCCGCCCTGCGGCCGGGCGTTGGCCATGTCGAGATCGTGTAGCGTCACGTCCTGGACGATTTCCTTCTTCTTGTGAACCTCGCCCTTGGGCACCGGGACGTACTCCTCCGCCTCCAGATCGAACTCGGTCGCATATGCATCGGAGCGTCCCACACGCTTGCACGCGCCGGTATTGGCCTCAATGTAGATGACGTCTCCCACCGTGACACGCTCCTTCTGGATGGCCTCGTAGATGCTGGGGTCCAGGCGCAGCTTCTTGGTGCCCTTGGCGGACTTTAGTCCGATGATCAAATGGCTGATCGTCCGTCCATATCCCCCCAATGGGTTCTCGGCCTCCTCGGGCGTGAGCTCCGTAACTTCGCCTTCGTACACTTCCTTAGTTTCGCGGACACGGAGACCTGTAGATGAATTTGCGTTAGCCGCGCGCCAATCTTTGTCGCTTCTGCGTTCGCAGCAACAGCAGCAGCGGTAATGGGGATCATTTACCAATTGCTCTCCGGAAATTCTCCATCAGCGCCTCCGTCTTCTTCACTTCGGCAGAGTAGATCTCACTGCCGACGATGGGGCAGAATGGGACCTTGGTTCCCAGTTCCTGCGATACGGCAAGAGCCAGAGCTGTCTTGCCCGTACCAGGACCACCGGCCAAAAGCACGGCACGGCCGGCCATCTTTTTCGCCTTGATCAGATCAACAACAACACCGCATGCCTGTGAGAAGAAAATCATCTTGTCAGCCAACGATGTGTCTCAACGGGAGCAGAGAAGCAATAGTTCTTGTGCACGGAAAAAGAAGGGATTTGCGTGCGTCGCATACCTCACGGGCAGCACCCTGTCCAACAAATCCATCGCCGGTTGTCTCTGCGGTTCCGTCTGGCCGGAGACCGAGGCCCTTGATGTGCGTATGCGCGGCGGTTCTGTTCTCGCGCGAATTGCCCTTCACTTCACTGATCTGGACCATGGTGAAGGGATTGCGACCTTACTCGGAAGGCCACAGGGAAAGCGAATGGGAAAGTCGAGGGATGGAGATTGAGGGGTTGGAACTTGTTGTTGAGGAGCCGCGAAGAGCTGACCGAGCGGAGCACACAAGTGAGTACGATGGGTTAAGGAGGAATGAAGAGAAACAAACGGTCGGTCTTGGTATGGATGATGCTGAGCCTGGAGCAACTGCTTGCTTGCTTGCTGCTGAGCGGAAATTCCAATCGATCAATCAGAGCGGTCGATCACCAAGGCGGTCAGCCGCAACGCCCAAATTCTTTCTCTCCCACTCCCGCCGGAAGTGCGTCCAGGCCTTGTCTAGGTATTATCGCCCAGCAGCTTGAGATCTCTCACTCACTCCTCAATTGGCCGAATCTCGCCATCGAATTGCCCGGCAGTGACTCTGTCATGGTCAAGAGCTGAATTCTTATTCCTCTCGATTTTCCATAGACAGAATACAGGATGGCGGGCCTACAGACTCGCTCGGCCATGTCGCTCCCCTTCACCCTCTCTGCGGCTTTTCGCAACCTTTCACTCAGCACCGCGAAGCGGTTCTTCTCCACGACACTGCCTGTACAGAAGACGCGAAAACTCCCGGACCATATTCCACCCTACCCGTACGGCCCCAACTATGTCTTCAAGCAGTCCAACTCCGGTCTGTACGGCGGCGCGATGATCCGATTCGGCAACAAGATCTCCGACGGCAAGAACGAGGGCAAGACCCGCCGATCCTGGAAGCCCAACGTTCGCCGCAAGAAGATCTGGAGCGACAGTCTTGAGAAGTTCCTGTTCATCAAGGTGACGAAGAAGGCCTTGAGGACGATCGAGAAGTGCGGTGGGCTCGACAAGTACCTCTTGGGCAACACCCCGGCCCGGATCAAGGAGCTGGGTATTTTCGGCTGGGAGCTGCGGTGGCAGGTGATGAACTCGCCCAAGATGCAGGAGAAATTCGAATTGGACAGGCTGCTTCACAACGTCGAGAAACCTCAAACCTTCGAGGAGTTTGTGGCGCAAAAGGAGGCTGAGAGGAAGAAGAAGGCGCTTGACCTGACGAATATCAAGGCATTGACGAAGCCTACGCTCAATGAGAAGCAGTACTGAGGGGGGACACAAATGATTGTTGAAGTTGCGAGAGGTGTGGGCTTGTAACCGTCCTGAAGCATCCGCGGTTCAAGACCAGGGGATGAGAACGTCTGTTGTATTATATCTATTTGCGATCATGGTCGACAGTCTTGCGCAGGCAGCGTCAGTAGAGTGCCCTCTATCTTGCTGACTGCTTGCTGAGAGAGAAACTCTACAGCTGTCCGGCTTTGATTTTCTTGCATTGATTACCATGGACCTTGCATGTTCCGATTTATTGTTTGCTGTATTTATACTTCATTTCACCTTGGCCAATGATATTAGAATTTGACTACTGGTCATCGAGCAGGGACTTTCTTTAGCTGGTGAGGCGTACGAGACCGAGCCAGTGTCTATAGTACTGTACAATGAAGCACACCGATGTACAGTACTACTATTGATATGGTGAGTGAAGCGACACGGCAAGTGCAGTACTGTCCTGTCCGGTACAATGTAGCCAAAAGAGTCATGAGTAACGCTTGGCTCTATAAAGCAATACTGCATCACTCAACCAGCCTGAGTCGTATACCACAAGACAAGAGCTAATAATATCTCTGGAAAGCACATACTTAGGACGGACTTGCTCGGGCCCTCTGGAATGTTGCGATATCTCGGGCCAACCAAAGACCTGCGGATTGGTAGCCGGAAGCGGCAGAACGGCCCCCATCTCTATGCGGTGACGCTTTGTCCGACCGAAGTACTCGTACTTAGAAACGATCCAGCTTCATCTCCAACGAATTTCTTCCTCACCAGTCACCCAGCATTCGCTCGCTGGGGACAGATTTTGACAGCATGCAGTTCGCCTTACCTCCCCGGAGGGCCCCGATAACTCCTGTGTATGGACGATCCCCGCGATTCTCGTTACAGCGCAGGAAACAGCTCAAAGCCATTGCCCTCCTCGCCTTTGCGCTGCTCACCATATTCTTCCTCCTCTCCCAATTCTTCTACACGAGCACTGGCACCCCTGCAGTGTCCGCGAGCACCTCTAGTGTGGTCATCATCACAGTGTTAGATCGGGTTGTATTCAGCGAAGATTACATCGAGAAGATTGTCAAGAATCGGGAGGACTATGCGAAGCGTCATGGTGAGTAGTGGTGGCCCCCCGGAGAGGACATGGCGGTTGACACATGATGACTACCACTTTTGTCTCACTACAACTGACACAAACGTACTCGCTGCCAAATTAGGGTATACGAATTTCTTCGCCAACGTGTCTGACTACGAATCCTCGATCGGCGACTCGCCGCAGAGTTGGGCCGTCATCCCCGCCGTCCGGCATGCGATGGCCTCCCACCCTTACTCGCAGTACTTCTTCCACCTCGATGCGCACGCCCTGGTCATGAACCCGAGCAAGTCGCTGGGGTCGCATGTCCTGGACAAGCAGCGGCTCGAGTCGCTGATGCTCAAGGAGGTCTCCGTCGTGCCGCCCGACAGCATCATCAAGACCTTCTCGCATGTCCACCCCGAAGACGTCGACCTGATCATCACCACCGACAACGAGGACATGAGTCCCGGGAGCTTTGTGCTGCGGCAGGGCGACTTCGCCAAGTTCTTCCTGGACTTGTGGTTCGATCCCCTGTACCGGAGTTATAACTTCGCGAAGGCGGAGACGCATGTCTTGGTAAGGAATTCTATTGTGTTCTCTGCTTTGCCCTGCTTCGGTTCACCCTGGGCGTTCTGCAGGCGTTGTGTCACCATAACTATACTCACTCACGTCATTTGTTTCGCTCTCTAGGATCACATCGTCCAATGGCATCCGACCATCCTAGCCCGGTTGGCGCTCCTGCCTCAGCGAACCATCAACGCCTACAGCAAGGATTGCACGGCGGCGGCGGCGAACGGCATCTACAAGGACGGCGATCTTGTCATCCGGTTCCTTGGCTGTGACACCGATACGAAGCGGAGCTGCGAAAAAGAGATGGAGCCCTACTACCGCCTTTGGCAGACCAAATTGAAGACTGAGTGATCCCTTTTCACTCCAACTGGACTCTTTTACTTTCTTCTTGCTGGGATTTGGAGTTGCGTGGCTGTGGGTTTGGGGGGAAGTACGAAACTGTGTTTCTTGTTTTTTCTTACTGGTTTATTGTTCCCAGGTGTTCTCTGGAGTTTCATGAGGATGCACCACATAGAGCGAGCGCGTGTATCATTAAAGGTTAAATTTGAACTACTGCCTCTTTTCAGTATTTCGCATCAGGAGACCTTTAAAAGCACCAATTGCGACATTAGACTCGATGTAGCGCCCAGCTGTCATGCGGAGTGAGTGTCAGGTGCGATAGGGGAAACTAAATTGCTGGTGGGTTTTTCTGACCACTAATTTTAAGCTTCGTGGCAATGTCTCATCCATTCGTCGGTTCTGCTTTTTTTGGGTCGTAACTGTGAGATTGTTGAACAAGGGCAAAACCATGTTCTTCATGACGTGTGACTTGTTTGGGGGCAGCAGAGCCCACCAAACGATGCTTCTCCCCCCTCCTCCTTTCCCATGACTCTATCTCCCGTTTCATTAATTTTAAACGAGGCCAGGGAAGAGAGCAAAGCGCTTGCGCTTATACTTGTCGCCAAACTCCTTGCGGTAGCGACGCTCCTTCTTCTTGGCCCAGATGGCCATCTGGGCGGAGCCGACGACGATGAACAGGAGGACGCTCCAGCTGAGGCCGCTGAGCAGGTAGATGCCGACCCAGGCGACGATCTCAAAGAAGTAGTTGGGGCAGGTGACGACGCTGAAGCCGAAGCCGGTGGGGATGCCGCGCTCGGTGGTGCCGGGGCGACGCAGGTCGCGCAGGATGCAGTGGGCGTTCAGGTTGGCCAGCTCGCCGAAGACGAAGAGGGCCAGGCCCGTGTACCACAGGAAGGCGTCCCCGTCGCGGGCGACAGCGGGGCTGTCCGGGCGGAAGACCCAGTAGGCGATGTTGGCGCCGGCCAGGAGCCAGTAGTGGCCGCTATTCTTGAGGATGTTGCGCGCGGGCATCGTGGCGTTGCTGAAGCGGTGGATGAAGATGGTCTCATACTCGCGCTTGATGAAGTGGACGGTCAAGAGGGCGCAGACCAGGCGTTGGAAGTTCGAGGGCTCCGCGAGCGGCTGGTCGAAGTTGTAGTAGATGTACGGCCGGAGCGGGTAGAGGAATAGGTAGGGGATGATGAGCGGGCCCAGGTATTCGATCAGGTAGACGGTGCGCCATCCTAGTTGAGGGCCTGAGGAGCGAGGGGAGATGAGGTTAATTCTTTGGGGTGTTTCTGTTTTGGAGTTGGGAGGTTTGGGCCATACCTAGGTCCTTGACGTGGATCACGCTCTTTTCCTTCAGGCCGGTGCCATCGACGGTCAGGTCCTTGGAGTTGGGAACGAGCGTCCGGTCGCTTCCCTTGGTGATGCGGAGGCGGTGGATGGAAAACTTGGAGGCTTTGGCCAACGCTTGGTAGATTTCCTCGGTCGAGGAATTGGGCGCTACTTGGAGCTCCTTGGGGAGCTTTCTGATGGGTTTACCTGGAGATAAGTGGTGTTAGTCTGGCAAGAAATAGGTGGGTGGAATCGGTTGGGAACAGGACTTACCCCGGGGCTCAACAACTAAGGTTATGGCCATTGGAACGAGCTGAGGGGGGAGCGAGTTGGAGATGGACAGCTCTGCTGATAGCAATTGATAGCCACCAATGATGATGGATTAGTTAACTGAGGGGTACCAGGACGTGATGGAAGGCTGTGAAGATTAGTCTAGGATCCAGGACTGAGGCCGGAGATGCGCGAAAATTACCCTAACTTTTGGTTGAGGGAGAGTTGGGACCTTCTGCTTCACTGCAGCTTACCGCGCTTAACTTACTCGACTGGGTAAGCTCAGAGCCTCGGCTTCCGGCAGGCGGGAACCATCACGTGGCAGACCGCCCTCAGCCGCATAGAGAAGGGCATTAATGGGGGCTGATTCTTATGAATTGTAGTGCAGAGTGGATTCATGGTCGTTATGATTAATTGATTAATTTATGGCCCACCATCTTCAGCTGAAGCAAGCTCGAAGGATCCCCGGGCCGAATTCGGATGGAACCTTCACTCTTATTGTTTTCAAGCACAGC